TCTTTCCAGTTTTATGAGTAAGAATAAAATCAAGACCCAATATTAGATTTGCTTTGAGATAGAGAGGGCTGTTTTCAAGCATGGAGGAGCATATGGTGAGCTCCAAGGAGGTTCTGGAGGGGGCCCAGGAGTGTGTATTCTGCTGAATGATCATCAGCCTCCCCTACTGTGACCTCTCCTGTAACCTGTGGCTGTTCTTCCATAGTGTATGCAGCAAGCGCCCCCACTGCTCTGCCCTGTGATTCCCCAGGAATCCCACAGGAAGAGCACCATGGGCAAGGCTCTCTTTCTGCAGGACACAGAAGAGGAATGGCTAGTGGGCTTGCTGATGGGACAGCCTGCCAGGATTCTCCCTTGATGCGCTGTGTCCATGGTTAGAGGGCCCAATGCAACCAGGCTGCTGTCTCCTAGCAAATAAGAACAAGTTGCATAATTATAACATTCTTCTTATTTTTTACTGTAAAGTAATAATAAATGAGGCATGCGTTATCAGAGTAGGATACACAAGAAGTGAGACAGATAACACAAAATCTGTTCCTCAGCCCCTGAAAGTCAGTTCATGATGCTCTGGTTTCTGTCCTCCCCTCATCATCCTTATCAAGACCACCACAGTTCTTTCCTGGAGCTCAGGAAATGTAATTGAAGGACCAATTTTGCTGTGGTAGGTGAGATTTTTATAGGAAATAAAAACAGCATGGGTGGAGAGCACATTTTAAATAAGATATATGACAGCCCAGCAAAGTATTTAAAAAAAATCACAAATACCATACATGAAAATTGACCTCCTGAAATCCCCCCATCTGGAAACTCCAACGTTGATGTTTGTTCTTCTGATACAGAAGCAATACTTGCAATTCCAAGGCTCCCAGTGCACTTATGGGCTATGCTGCTTCTCTGCTGGGTAATGATAAGGAGTGCCCATCCCAAGACCCACCGATACCTGGTGCCCAACAAAGGCTCAGACTCTGTGCCCAGCATTCCCAGGAATATGATGACAGCTGGGAGCTTCCTGATGCAGAACCACAGCAGGGAGACAGAGTCATGCAGCTCACTGGACAAGAACTATCAGAGAAAGGGCTGCAGGCACAGGCTGATTTTGGACTAACATATGACCTTGGAAGCTCTATGCACAGAGCTCATAATTACAATAATTGGTTTATGCAATGCCCATCTCTGGGATGTCCCAACATTAATGCAGAAAGATGAAAAAGAAAAATTGAGGATCCACTTAAGATTTGGACCCTAGTTGTAATTAGGAAGAAACTTGCATAATCAATTACTTCTTTCATTTTATGTTTTTTAAATACTTCTATTTTTTTTTCTTTTTTTAAAATTTGTTCTAACTGGTTATTCATGAAAGCAGAATGCATTTCAATTAATTCTTTGTACACAAACAGAGCACAACTTCTCATTTCTCTAGCTGAACATGATGCAGAATCACACAACTCATACAATCATACATGTACATAGGGTAATAATGTCCATTTCATTCCTCCATTCTTCCCACCCTCCTCCCGTTACTGCACTATGCCCAGTCCAAAGTTACTCCATTTTCCCCTACCCACCACCCACTATGGATTAGCTTCTGAATATCAGAGAAAGCATTTGGCCTTTGGTTTTTTAAGATTGGCTTATTTGACTTCACGTAATATTCTCCAGCTCTCCATTAGGGTGAGTAATGTTTCACTGTGTATATGCCACATTTTCTTTATCCACTCATCTGTTGAAGGGCATCTAGGTTGGTTCCATAGTTTATCTATTGTGAATTGAGCTGCTATAAACATTGATGTGGCTGTTTCTCTGTAGTATGCTGATTTCAGGTCCTTTGGGTACAGACCAAGGAGTGGGACACCTGGGTTAAATGGTGGTTCCACACCAAAAACTTAACAACAAAACACAAATAACCCAATCAATAAATGGACTAAGGAACTGAACAGCACTTCAAAGAAGATATACAATTGATCAACAAATATATGAAAAAAATGTTCAACATTTCTAGCATTTAGAGAAATGTAAATCAAAAGTACTCTAAGATTTCATCTCACTCCAGTCAGAATGGCAATTATCAAGAGCCATGTTCCTCAAATCCACACAGCATTTCAAATATAGCTTCAGTTATTCAATCTGAATAACTAGCCCAAGTTACATGTACTTTATCATTTCTGTTCTCTAAAATAAAATTGTGTGATACTTATGTCGTGGAAAGACTTTGCATGTGAATTCAAACAATCTACAAATAGAGGATGTGGGGGGAAAAGGCTCACTCATACATTGCTGATGGGACTGCATATTGGTGCCACCACTCTGGAAAGCAGTATGGAGATTTCTTAGAAAACTTGGAATGGAACCACTTCTCTGTTTTTTTTTAAGTTCCATTTTTGTTAGGTTAAAATATAAATAAGAAAAATTACTATTGAACCATAATAAGTATACACTTGAGTGACATTTATTTGGCCATCAAGGGTTTTTTTTTTTGTTTTTTTTTTATTAAACATTCAGTTTTTTGAAAAACAGTGGGTCTATTGCCCAGACGGATTGTCAAAGTACTCTGCAGCATTGGAATGATGTGAAACTCTGAAGTGTGTCTCAGACCAAGCTCTAAGGGTCCTTCACTTCCCTCTGTTCCTGCTTCACGTTTCCTAGGTTCATGAACATCTCTGCCATTGATGTTGAGTAATTGAATGTTGCAGATGCTGTTGAGAGGAAGTTTGGGGCTTCTGTTTCCATGCCAGAGACACAAACAAGAGCTGATCAATATCGACTCCTGAACTTAGGGACATTTTTTAGTAGACTGAAGCTACAGAAAGGAGATCACCACTGTGTAGAAACCCCACTTGAGCATGGCCAGGACCTGTGAATGTAGTGAAAGTCTATTCAATGTTTAACAACATAGTTTTAATTTTTATCTCTCTGTGCCTAATATGGTAGAGGCTCTGGGAAATCAGAAATGAGAAAGAGAAGGTTTTTCACTCAACATACAGCATATACATATGAAAGGAGAATATGAGGCTGTAACATTACAGAAATATGAAAACAGTAATAGGTCACAGGATAATTGATTTGAATAATAAAGAGTGGCATTTCCATATTTATAATAACTAATTTTCTTTTGCTCATATGTTACACCTTCATCACATATCAATGACACAGGAAGAAACAATTTCTGTTTAATCTGGGTTCAATGATGTTGTATCAACTAGAAATCAACTTGGAGAACATTACTGAGTATCATAGACACTAGCACCTGTGTCCACCAACAGCAGCCAAAGTGAAATTGTGAGACTCTGGGTCTGATGCACTCATCTTTTTCAGTGTTTTGCAATAATCAGAAAGTTTTCAACAGAATAAAGAGGTCTTAGTTAGAGCAACATCTCTGGTACATTCTTAACCCTTTAATGTCCCTGAGTAGTAATGAAATCCAGACCTACTTTGCTCCTATTTGATGGAGAGGGTTAATTATAATATACAGGTGGATGTAACAGCTGCAGGTGTGACCTGGAGTTGGGGATACAGGGGGATGTTCCACCTGGACCTTTGTCTTGTCTCAGCCATTCTTGCAGAAATGATGCAACTGATGCCCCTGACTGCTTTGTCCTGGAATCTACAAGAAATCCCAAAGGAAGGGCAAAATAAAACTGGCCCCATCCTGGAGTGACAGGAAACTGAAACACATGATTGTTTTATGGAGGGGACAACCTGTCAGCAGTGGCTTGCACAAATGCCATATGCCTCAAATCCACACAGTGTTTCAAACATGGCTGCAGTTATCCAATCTGAATACCTAGCCCAAGTTACATGCACACCTGTGCTCATTTCTGTTTTCTAACATAAAATTGGGTGATACTTATGCCATGGGAAGACTTTGCACGTGAATTCAAACAACCTAATAGATAGCTTAGCACCTGGCACTCAGAATCCCCAACAAAAATCATCCTCTTCTTCATTCACATTCTCATCATCTCCTTCACAGACCGTCTGGAGTTTTGAGGACACAGTTTAAAGGGATGCCTTTTCTCCCCTTGTGGATGACAGTGTGTGGCACGAAGAGTCAGGTGGCAGTTAAAGAGGACTTTCCATGAGCTTTCTGTTGTGCTCACCACAACAAAGCATATGAACTCACAGTACCATCCCTGACAATCAGCACCTCATTCTCCCATCTGGGTAGATAAAGTGCATGCTCCTCCTGATGGCGAAGAAATAATGCTAGGCAATGTCCTTCCCCCACCCTTCCCTTCCACAGCAGCTCCCGATTCACACTGGGGCTCTGCTGACTTAGAACTAAGAAGGGCAGGTCCAAAGCCCCCACCTCCCTGGTGCCCAGTGGCCCTGACTTCAGCCTCCAGATGTCAACACACGCTCAGTTAGGTACTTCCTAATGCTGACATCTACAGCAGGAAGAGATGCAAAATGGCGCCCACTGAACTGGGTTCCTCAAGCTGAGGGGCTGGAGGCACTGGCTGGTTGTTGAATACTGTGTGATGTTGGTGGCTCAGTGCATGAGGCTCCTAGTTTACCAAGTAGCTGAAGCATATCAGCAACTCTTAAGAGCTTCCTAATATTAATGATGGGGAAGACGAGCAGAAAATGAACATGTACCAGTGTTTATCCATTTATCTCTACAAAGGAAGAGGTTCACCTCTACTATGAATTTTTTATTTCCTAAAAAAAATTAGCTCTATATTACTATAGTTGCAGTAAATTAGGTTATTTTTTTCTTTTAACCATTCTCAAGTATTATGATAAGCATCATCTATCACATAGAAGTTTTTAGAAATATTCATCATCACCATCTCAAAAATCTTTCATCATTTCAAAGTGATCCTTTGTTTCAAATATGAAGAACTCCAAAACAGTCCTTCCCATCATTGGCTGGAGGCATTGCACTTAATGTGATATTAATCCCATTAATGTTCCTGAAGAGGCAGATTTACCCAACTTGATAATTAGTTATAATGGATTTTCCAACACACATTGCAACTGGACACCACAGGGTCTGAGATTTAGGCCATCCTGCTGGGCAGCCTCCTCAGGGCACCTTTAATGTCCCTGTTCCTCAGGCTGTAGATGAAGGGGTTCAGCATGGGGGTGACCACAGTGTACATCATGGAGGCCACTGCACCCTTCCTGGGAGAATGTGATGCAGCTGATCCAAGGTACACTCCAAAGCCTGTGCCTATAAATAAACAAACAACTGCCAGGTGAGAGCCACATGTGGTGAAGGCTTTGTACTTCCCCCCTGAGGATGGGATCCTCAGAATGGTTGAAACAATTTTATAGTAAGAGAAAAAAATCCCTGAGATGGGGAAAAGGCCATAAAATGCTCCCAGAAAATATTTGACAATGTTATTAGAGAAAGTGTCAGAACAGGAGAGATTCAGAATTTGAGAAGGGTCACAAAAGAAACTGGAAATTTCCATCCTCTTGAAGTTGGTAATTTTTAAGATCATCAAATTGTGCATCTGGGAGTCCAAAAGGCTGAACAAAAATGAAACCAAAGTTAAGAAACCACAGAGACGACGATTCATCATGACCAAATAGTGCAGGGGGTGACAGATGGCTACAAACCGATCATAGGCCATCACACTCAGAAGCATATAATCCATACACGCAAAAATGGTAAAAACAGACATCTGTGTTAGGCAGCCCACATAGGAGATGTCTCTGCTGTGAGTTTGGATGTTCACCAGCATCTTGGGGACCGTGGTGGAGATGAAACCAATGTCAGCCAAGGACAGGTTGGAGAGGAAGAAGTACATGGGGGTGTGGAGGTGGGGGTCAGAGCTGACCGCCAGGATGATGAGCAGGTTCCCAAGCACTGTGACCATGTACATGCACAGGAACAGTCCAAAGAGGAGGGGATGCAGGTCTGGATCCTCTGAGATTTCCATTAGATAGAATTCTGATATGTGAGTTAAATTTTGTGCTTTTGTGTTGCTTGGACACCTTTTGAAAAGCAAAGAGTGTAAGAAAAAAAAAAAAGGAACCCATCATCAGGCTCTGCTCGCTCTGCATGCATTTGGATTCAGGTATTCACTAGGAAGCTGCTCACACTGGAGATCCACACGCCCTCAACATAGGTCCCAGTCCTGAGTCACCCAGACTTCCACATTTTTTTCACTGTTGCTCTCTACATCATTCACCCCTCTCTCCACACCCTATTTCAGACATTTAACTAATCAATGTTAAAAGCCTGGGAGCAGAAAGAAGAGGTTCATGATTACAGTAAATTATAGCCTACCATTTAAGGGGAAATTCAGGAAAAGTAATGTTTTGTATTAAGAAAAAAATAATGTTCATGAAAGTTTATTAAGAACCAGCTCAATTTACTTTGTCTTGTTCTAACAAGTTGAGAGTAATGAGTCTCAGTCAGAAAGCATGGTCATGAGCCATTTATCTTCAAAGTGTCTCATCATTTTTTATTTTCTCATTGCCCTCCTCTGCAGATTAAAGCTTGCTCTTTAAAGGCATGTAATGTAATGCAAATTTCCTTGTCTTTGGCACATTTTAAATTTCAATAAATATTATTGAGCTAAATGCACAAAATCAATAGTAACCCTGATCACAAATGTGGCTGAAAGAGATGATATTAAAAACATAAATGATTAAACACTTTGAATAATTTGATTTTACACTGGTTTATTTGTATGAACCCATACAATATCAGCAGAATAGCTGGCATATAGAAGAGCTTTTCACTGTTTTTCTTTCCTTTATTCTGTCCTCCAGCTGACCTGTTAAAACTGGTCTATGGTTTTGTGATCTGAGTTCATCAAGTTTGCAGTTTAATATCTCATCACCAAAAAAGGCCCAAAGCTCAGCTTTTATTTCTAACCACATTATTTCCACTTTGTGGACTCTCTGGTTCATTATAAAACTTGAAAAACATGCCCTTGGCCCATGCCCTTGGCTCATGCCCCTGTAATATGGGGGAAATAAATAATTGCAGGGAAAAGTGGTACAAAATTGTGCACCTCCACCCTGGCTCCACCTCCTGACCAGGACCTGATACAGCCCTTCTATAAACATTCAACACCCAGCCCAAAACAGGGCTTCCCTCAGCCTCAAGACAACCCACATTCTCCCTTGCATGTATACCTGCCTTTAAAAATAAACCTCTGTCCATGCCTCTGTCCAGCTGAAGATTCTTCTCCATCAATATGCCAAGAACCCTACTGGTCTGGAGCTGAGCTCTCCCTCTGCCCTGGGAAGCCCTTGGACCCATCTCCAGAAACATCTTTTTCCCCATAACATTACTATCTCTGCCTGAAAGATTTAAGATTCAGTATTTCCCCTCTCTTTATCTTAAATCCCTAGCTCACTAAGAACTCAAATTTCTCAGGTAATTATTTAAATCTGTCTATACAGTGTTAGTCCTGAGACAAGTATTGTCAAATACCTATATTTTAACTAACTAGTGGTTAGTTAAAATTACCTAACTAGTGGTTTTCTCTCAGTTAATGTTATATTCATCTTTGGATATTTTAGATTTTCTACATACTGTGAAATCAGACCAACACCAGTTTAATCATGATATCTGCAGGTGAAATCCTAGGTGGTTTTATTCTTACTCCAGAGTTGGAAACGACTGTCTGACAACATCCTGGCACTTAGAAAAAGTTCCATGAATATTACCTTCTCATATTTCAATAACACCCACTACCTATGTTACAATATATGTATTTGACAATACTTGTCTCAGGACTAACACTGTATAGAGAGATTTTTTAATAATTACCTGAGAGATTTGAGTTCTTGGTGAGCTAGAGATTTAGGATAAAGAGAGGGGAAATACTGAATCTTAAAGGAAACATACACAAGCCTTTGAGATGGAGAAAGCACAGTTATAAATTTTGAACAACAAGCCCTTGGCCCATGCCCTGGGTTCATGCCCCTGTAATATGGGGAAAATAAACAAGTGCAGGGAAAAGTGGTACAGAATTGTCAAGCACAACCCTGGCTCCACCTCCTGCCCAGGACCTGATACAACCCTTCTATAAACATTGGACACCCAGCCCAAAACAGGGCTTCCTCTTAGCCTCAAGACAGCCCATATTCTCCCTTGCATGTGTAGCTGCTTTCCTAAATAAACCTCTGTCCATGCCACTGTCCAGCTCCTGCTGAAGTCTTTCTCCATCACACATGCCAAGAACCCACTCATCTGGAGCTGAGCTCCCATTTTCCCCTGGAAACCCCTTGGACCCATCTCCAGAAGCATCTCTTCCCCTGTGACATTACTATCTCTGCCTGATTGCACTCTCCTGCAAAACTGTCTCCCAAACACACCTACTTCATGAAATGGGGAAGTGTGATTTTCTGTTGATGTTTCTATGTCAATATTAATTTATGTTCCCATAAAGTTTTCCATTAAAAATTACCTAAAGGGCACCTAAATCTTATCTAAGTAGTACACAACACAATACCTATTGCCCCAGAAATGCACCGTTTAATTACACTGAGATGTTAATTCCATTTGCGAAGATCATTCCTCTACTTCAAAGTCTTTATCCTACACAAAGCATTACCTGAAGAAAGTGCATCCTTTAACCACTAAGGTATGACAATCATTTCAAAATTGTTTTTCATCTCTCCATATAACACAAATAAGAATTTCTATATAATATATCAGCAGGGATATGGGTGTGATCTCCAAAGAACAATGCATGTCAAAATTTACTCTATAAGAGCTACATTTACTTACCAATTTAAAAAAATCATAATCATTATAGTTATACTTAATAGTTGGATTTGGGTGTTTTCCATATTATTATGAGTGTATTATAGTTGTACATAATGGTGAGATTTATTGTTACATATTCATACATGCACAAAATATAATGGTACAATTTGGCCAGTGTCATTCCCTAGTATTTCTCCTTACCCTCCTGTCCTCCCTCCCACAGTCCTTTCCTCTGCCATACTGATCTCCCTTTGATTTTTAAAGAGCATTATAGTTACACATACTAGTTGTGTTTATCCTGATATTATCATATGCCCATGAAGGAGAACCAGATGTGTAGACTCAAAAGGGTGTTGGTATGCATACTGGCTACTTACCAGATGGCCAAATGTGTTGCATGTTTGCTGTATTAAGTTTCCTTTTTCTCCAATAGACCAAAATATAGCAATCTTTAAGGTTCAGAAACAGACATGGGAGTTCCCCATAGGAAAAGTTTCCCTAGCAGCTGCTGGAACAGTCCCTCAGTCCTTCAATTTACTCACAGGTACATCTCCTCTGCTTCCTCACAAGAGAAAGCCACAAGGTCCTAGTTCCCCAGCAGTCATTTGTTAATAAGCTCATGAGACACCTTGCATCTTTAGGGTGGAAGGGGTTGCCTGGAGAGCCAGAGCTGCCCAAGAAGAGTAGGGTGGGGGCAGCTGTGGGATCCCAGGTAGGTTGCGAATTTGTTACCAAAAGCTTCAACTTGTACCCAATACCAATTCAATATTAAAAACAGGGTTTTGAGAAAACAATAAGGATCATTGTTTTGCTAGTAAAGAGAATCACGGAGGAATCTTGTCCTAGAGACTGTGCTTCTCACCTATGTCTTCATCTTAATATGTGTCACCAAACACTGCTGACCATGACATATTTTCTGCATAATGACACCTAAATAAGTCTTATCTGGTTTATAGGATATTTCCATGTTGCTCAGGTAGAAAAGAAAGTGTTTTCATTTGAGTCATAAAAGCAACACTTTACTTGATATCACAGCCCTGCCAGTGTGTACACGGTGTGAGAATCACTACACTTTTCCTGGCTCTGACTGCTTAAGGAGAGAAGGAGAACAACACCCAGCTCCAAAACATGTGCAGCACCAAAGCAAATTTGGTACTCGATAACTGATTGGTCATTGTCACTTTAAATTAAAAGTGTATGATTAGGGAAATGCCAACAATTTTGAGGAAAGAAATTGTCAACAGACCCCAGAGTCAACACAGTGGGAAACTCTGATATGTGCCTCAGTAGAAGGTTAGGGTTTCAGGGGATCCCTCAGGACCTACCATATATTGCTATTTTTTACTTTAGAAAATCTATATCATGAGTGCTCAAATTCGACTAAGTTAGTGGGAATTAAATAAAAACAAAAGGTTCCTATGTCCATGACAATGACACAGAACAATAGTGATTAACTTGCCATGATTTTCATGGGGAATTGCTTCAAAGAATGAAAATACAGACTGGAAGCAAGAAGTCCATGAATACAAATTAATTTGGGCCATTTTGGGGAAGAAAGATCAGGTGAATTCAATGTGGAACAGATCTGTTTTAGATGCCTCCCTGTGCCAAGACAAGCATGGGCCCCAGCGAGTCACAAATAGAAAGAGGGACACCTTCCCAAATACACAGCACAGATGTGTGGAGCATCAAAAATAAAATATCCAAACCAGAAATAGAAAAATTGTAACTTTGAGTAGGGGATGAATTATTTGAGTTCCATGAAGATTAACCTAATCACTACTAACAGTAACAATAATATCTAGATCTTAATTTGCTCAGAATTTTTTCAAAAATCCCACATTATTCCTGTAAGAGCACGATGTATCTATTTCATCCTTAGTCAATGCAGTTGTATCAAACAAAAACCAACTCAGATATCAATGCTGAATCCAGACACTAGTGACTTACTCCTTCACAGACACAATAAGTGGGACTGAAAGACTCTAAGACCCATTTGCTGTGTGTTTTTGTTTTCTTCCACGCAACATGAAGTTCTCTATCTATGTCCTAAGGGTTTGAAAATAAGGTATACATTGAAGTTCTTTCCAGTGATGTAACAATAAGCTAAAATAAAGACATAATATTAAGTTTGTTTTAAGATTAGAGGGCTGTTTTCAAGCATGAAAGGTCATATGGTAAGGTCCAAGGAGGTCATGGAATGGGCCCAATAGCGTGATCTGTGCTGAATGATCATCAGCCTCCCCTACTGTGACCTCTCCTGTGACCTGTAGTTGTTCTTCCATTGGTGCATACAGCAGGCACCTGCCTGCTCTGCCCTTGATCACCAAGAATCTAGGAAGAAACTGCACCATGGGCAATGCTCTCTTTCTGCAGTGACAGGTAAGAGGAATGGCTCTTGGTTTATTGATGGGACAGCCTGCCAGGATTCTCCTGTGATGCCCTGTTTCCACGGTCAGACAGCCCAGTGTAAAAAGGCTGCAGTCTTTCCAACCTAACAAACAAGAGCAAGTTGCATAATTATAATGTTCCTTTTTTACTGTAAAATAATGATAAAAGGGGCATGCATTTTCAGAGTGTGACAATGCACAAGAAATGAAACCCATGATAGTGAACACCTTGCTCATTCCCTGAGCCTGGGAAGCTCTGAGTGTCAGTCCATGGTGCTCTGGTTTCTGGCATCATCCTCCTCATTTTTATTACCACCAGAGTCTTTTCATGGTGCTTAGGAAATATTTTTTTCTATTCATTCTTTCTGTTTTCTTTTTCTTTTTTAGTACCAGAAATTGAACTCAGAGGTGCCTAGCCACAAGACCATATCCTTAGCTCTTTTCATTTTTTCAGACAAGACCTCCTTAAGTTGATTAGGGCCTTGCTAAGTTGCTGAGGCTGGCCTTTAACTTGCAAACTTCTGCCACAGCCTCCCCACCCTCCATAATTACATACACACACCACTACACCAGGCTAGTGAACACTTCTGAGGACACATTTTGTACTCTATGGGAAACAGAAGCAGTGTGAATGGAGAGCACATTTTAAATAATATATCTAATACCCTAGCAAAAATAAAAACATAAACTTTTCAAACAAGATGCATGAAAATTGACATACTGAAGACTCCCATCTGAATACTCAAACTGTGATGTTTGTCCTTTTGATAGAAGAGCAATACTTTCCATCTTTCTTCCAGGGT